AGCCTCCGCCGGCCAGTCTACGGTCTCCGCCAGGTGCCTCGCGAGTGGCACGACACGCTGAGGACTACGCTTGCAGCTCTTGGGTTTGCTCCTTCTACTGCTGACCCGTCGCTGTTTCTCCGCACCGACACCTCGCTGCCGCCGTTCTACGTCCTCGTGTACGTAGACGACCTCGTCTTTGCTACTGCTGACACAGAGGCACTGACCCTTGTGATGTCGGAGCTGCAGAAGAGACACACCTGCATTGACCTGGGTGAACTGCATTGCTATCTTGGCTTGCAGATCACCCGGGACAGAGCACGGCGCACCATCACCCTTACTAAGTCACACATGGTGCACCAGGTCCTTCAGCGCTTCGGCTTCCAGTTCTCCTCGCCACAGCCCACTCCTCTGTCTACCGGCCACTCACTCTCAGCTCCACCTTCGGACGAGTCCGTAGAGCCGAGTGGTCCGTACCCAGAGCTTGTGGGTTGCCTCATGTACCTGATGACGTGCACACGACCTGACCTCGCGTACCCTCTCAGCCTCTTGGCTCGCTACGTGGCTCCCAGTAGGCACCGAAAGGTGCACAGGGATGCTGCGAAGAGGGTACTGCGTTACTTGTGCAGTACGTTGGGCATGGGGCTCGTGCTTGGAGGACGGGGTCCAGTTGTCCTCACTGGCCACGCAGACGCTTCTTGGGTTGACGACTCAGCTACGCAGCGGTCATCATAGGGTTACACCTTCAGCCTTGGCTCCGGCTCTGTTTCCTGGCGGTCTACCCGCTCGTCTTCGGTTCTCAGCTCCAGTTGTGAGGCTGAGATCTACACAGGAGCCATGGTTGCACAGGAGCTACGCTGGCTCACCTACCTGCTGACTGACTTGGGAGAGCAGCCTCGTTCGCCTCCAGTTCTGTACGTAGACAACAAGGCCATGATTGCCTTGTGTCAAGAGCACAGACTGGAGCACAGAACAAAGCACATCGCTCTGTGTTACTTCCTTGCTCGAAAGTTGCAGCAGCATGGCCAGCTTTGTCTTGCGTTCGTGGCCACTAAGGCCAACACTGCTGATGTATTCACCAAGGCACTTCCGCCTGGTGATCATCAGCGCTTCGCTACTGTGTTAGGCCTTGTGCCTACTTTGCCTCACTTGCTTAATGCTTGACTCTGCTTGTACTGTGATATATATATATACATGCATGCTTGCACTTGCTAGGGTATGATCACTGTATTGTTTGTTCTCTTTTATATAACTCTGCATGTGAACTGGCCTTGTGGCCCTTTGCTTGTGCTCGGACTGTGTGGTGACTTTGTGATCCACCCTGATCCACTCAAATGACATACGGGCAGCTATCACTACCCCCAGACGTCCCACGCTGAAACAACCACTCACGGAGCTACTGTGGCGACTGGGTCTCGCTCCGACGCTACTGCTGCTGCCGCTGGCCTCCACCAGGGCCTCCACGCCGAGGTCCAGGCCTACCGCCTCCAGTCCCACCGCCTCCACTGCCGCCACTCCCACCGCTGCCTCCACCGCCGCCACCAGAGCCCCCACTCCCGCCACCAGTCCCACCGCCGCCACCACCTCCACTGCCTCCACTACCTCCACGGCTGCCCCCACCACCGCTCGCGCTGCCACCTCCACCACCACCGCTGCCACCTCCACCACCCCTGCCATCCTTGCCCTTGCTGCTGCAGCGCTTCGCACTAGCAGAAGCAGCCCCGACGTCCTCAGCAACAGAGACGTCTACAGCAGCAGCAGAGGCGTAGGAGGGGGCAAGGGGGGAGGGGGAGCACCCCTCAAAGAAGGGCGGGCTCGGAGTGCCACGAGCAGCACCTACAGCAGCTGCACTAGTCTCAGCTGCGAGGAGATGGTGCTCGAGGAGGTCAACAGTGAGGGAGGTGGGGTCAAGGGAGAGAAAGTGGTCCCTGACAGAGCGAAGAGAGTCAGGGAGGCGAGTGACTATGAAGTAGAGGGTGATGAACATCGGGGGCTGGTTCCGGTCAAGGAACTCAGCAGGGACGGTAGCGCGGTAGCGAGCGTCGCTGGTGCGCAGGTGGGAAACCAGGTCCTCAACTGTGGCAAAAGCTGACAGCTCGGGGAACAGGTAGGGCAGTAGCAGTCGGCCTAGAGCAGCAGTGGCAGGCGAGGAGTAGCGAGCTACGACTGCGGCGTACAGTGCCTGTGCTGTCCTGTGCTGTCCGAAGTGAGCGCATTCAGCTAACGGCAGGTGGTTGCGAATGGCTAAGCAGGCAGCAGCGTCGCGAGTAAGCCACTGCGAGCGAGTCGCACTGTCAGCTGTGGCGGGAGGGGCAGTAGCAGTGCCTGACGCTAGGTCAAACAGCGAAACACTGTCCTTAGAATCGCTCAGTAGGTACAGCTGCAGATCGTCAAGCCACGTGTCAAACTGAATCGGTCTGCCCTCATGATCAAACGCTAGAACTTGAAGCGAAGCCATCGGGGCATAGTACGTAGGAGCAGCAATGACAGCAGTAGCAGTAGCAGTAGTAGCTGTAGCAGCAGTAGCAGTAGCAGTAGCAGCAGTAGTAAGAGCAGGAGCATGGGCCGAGGGGCCGAGGGGCCAAGGGGCCAAGGGGCCGAGGGGTCGAGGGGCCGAGGGGCCGAGGGGCCAAGGGGCCGAGGTGCCGGGGGCCTAGGGGCCAGGGGCCAGGGGGCCGAGGGGCCAGGGGGCCGAGGGGCCGGGGGCCTAGGGGGACGGGGCCAGAGTCGAAGGGGCCGAGGGGCCGAGGGACCGGGGGCCTAGGGCGACGGGGCCGAGGGGCCAGGGGCGACAGGTCCGAGGGGCCGGGGGCCTAGGGCCTAGGGGGGGTCGGGCCGAGGGGCCTAGGGGGACGGGGCCACGGGGCCAGGGTCGAAGGGGCCGAGGGGCCGAGGGACCGGAGGCCTAGAGCGACGGGGCCGAGGGGCCGGGGGCCTAGAGCGATGGGGCCGAGGGGCCTGGAGAGAAGGGGCCGAGGGGCCAGGGGCCTAGGGGCGACGGGGCCGCGGGGCCAGGGGCTACGGGGCCGAGGGGCGAGGGCCGAGGGGCCGCGGGGCAACGTATCGCGAGGGGCCGTGGGGGCCTGGGCCAAGGCGAGGGGCGACGGGCGACGGGCCGCGACGGGCGACGGGCCGCGACGGGCGACGGGCCTAGGGCGACGGGTCGGGGCGGGCGACGGGGGGTCGCTACGGGCGACAGGCGACGGAGGGCCGCGACGGGCCTAGGGCGACGGGGGTCGGGACGGGCCTAGGGCGACGAGGGTCGCGACGGGCCTAGGGCGACGGGGGTCGCGACTGGCCAAGGGCAACGGGGGCGCGACGGGCCTAGGGCGATAGGGGTCGTGACGGGCCTAGGGCGACGGGGGGTCGCGACGAGCCTAGGGCGACGGGGGGCTGGGCTAGAGGCGACGCCAAGGGGCGACGGGCCTAGGGGCGTCGGGCCGGGCTAGGGGTGGCGACGGGCCGGGGCCTAGGGGCGACGGGCGCGAGGCTACGGGCCGGGGCCTAGGCTAGCAGGGCAGCAGGTGGTGGGCCCAAAAAAAAACTGTCCTAGGAAGGGACCTGCTCTGAAACCATGTCAGAAAGAACGAACGAGAATGAATGAACTAGCAAAGAGTTGGGTACAAGTACTAACCTAATTGGGTTGTACCCCTTATGGGCTACCCCACTACAGCCTACACAATGTAAGCTATATATAAGTTTGACACCAAGAAGCGTACGCGGGTGCCCACTCTGACTTGTAGGAACGAATGCCAAGCTGCTCGGAGGGGGAGAGGTTTCGGAGAAGAGTGGTGTATGCGAGAAGAGACTCATGGTAGCACTGGTTCTTCTCTTGGATGGTGCCTTTCGTTGGAAACGGCAAGCTTCCATCGTAGTACATCCAGATTTGCGCAGTTGTCGCGAGAAGCTCGAACTCGAAACTCCACGTGTAGAAGTCCTTGCCGTCAAAGGGAACTGATGTCTTCAGCTTTGAAGTCAGAACGAACTTTGCTTGCATTGTTGCAATTGTTTCTGACTGTGTGCGATGTTGACTGTCTTGCGCAGGGGCTGAAGCTTGACGGTTGTCAAAGGTAAATGACCTCTCGGAGTTGATGCGGCGGTCTTCTCCAGGGAGAGGGAGTCCAGCAACTCCACGTGCGTAGCTTGAGCCATCGATGCTCATAGCTTGATGGCTCTCAAGAGCGTTGATGCGAGCGACCAGCTGCTCAACGAGAGCGGCGCTGACGGAGGTCACCGCTGATGGTGCAGTAGGTGTTGCTGGAGGTGGGCCCGGAGAATCTGCAGTGGCTTTTCCTTCGGGAGCCATAGAGATGCAGAGTTTGTAATAGTTTAACGAGTAATTTTTAGAAAGAACAAGAGCTTAACAGGCCTTATAATCCACTCTAGCTCTCATACCATGTTGTTATAAGTGAAGGCTCGTAGTGGATAGGATATGTCTGTCAAGTCTGAGAGAAGACAATGAAGTCTTTGTAATGACCTTGTTAATAAGTTGAAAGAGAACAAGATGATTAAAGGATAGTGGTACAAAGATATAAATAGCAATCCTAGCTAGCCATGTACTCTGAGGGGTACATTCCCTTATTAACTGAATTGCATTGCTACAGCATTCACGGGTCACGACCGTTGACTGTCTTCGACTGTTGACCTTCGGGTGACCCTCGACCTTCCGCATGCTCTTTATGAGCCATTGCGATAATGATATAGGCGTGTAGCTTCGTTATGGAGTGACGCGCGAGTGGAGAGCCTTCGGGAATGTTACTGTAACCTTTTAGGTTATTCCAACATTGTGCATTGAGATGTTTATCAAACATTACTACTAGTTCTGTGCTTTACATAAAACAGTGTTGCAAAAAATGAAGACCTTCACAAAAAAACCTCACATCACCAATGCCATCACTATTGGATATCCTGAACCCTAAATTGAATGTGTATTCTGTTGTGAATTACTTTATATTCGACGATTCTCGACACGGAGAGGCTCCACACAACCCCAAGTTCAATTAATTGTCATCTTGGTTGCTTCATGCTTGACGACCTGCACCACTGAAGGGAGAGGGAAGGTGCGAAGGAGCAGACAGGGGAGCATAAACAGATTGAAAGATAACGAGTGGCATATGGACAAGGCAGGGGAGAGCAAGAGCAGGGGGAAAAGAAAGGGGGAACAAAGGGTAAGCAGGGGAAAAGAAAGAGTGAGAGGGGGGGAAACAATGGGTTAGCAGGAGGAAAAGAAAGAGTGAGCAGGGGGGAAACAAAGGGTAAGCCAGGGGGAGAAGAAAGAGTGAGAGGGGGGGAGACAATGGGTAAGCCTTGGGAAAAGAAAGAGTGAGAGGGGGGGAAACAATGGGTAAGCCAGGGGGAAAGAAAGAGTGAGAGGGGGGGGAAACAATGGGAAAGCCGGGGAGAAGAAAGAGTGAGATGGGGGGAAACAATGGGTAAGCTAGGGGGAAAGAAAGAGTGATCAGGGGGGAAACAATGCGAAAGCTGGGGAAAAGAAAGAGTGTGAGGGGGGGAAACAATGGGTAAGCCAGGGGGAAAGAAAGAGTGAGAGGGGGGGAAACAATGGGTAAGCCAGGGGAAAGGAAAGAGTGAGAGGGGGAAAACAATGGGTAAGCCAGGGGGAGAGAAAGAGTGAGAGGGGAGGAAACAATGGGAAAGCCGGGGAAAATAAAGAGTGAGAGGGGGGGAAACAATGGGTAAGCCAGGGGAAAAGAAAGAGTGAGAGGGGGGGAAACAATGGGTAAGCCGGGGAAAAGAAAGAGTGAGCAGGGAGGGGAGAAATGACAGGGCGGGGAGAAATGACGAGGGGAGAAATGACGAGGGGAGAACTGACAGGGCGGGGAGAAATGACTGATAGTGAGGGGAGAATTGACAGGGCGGGGAGACAGGCGGGATAGGACAGAGCATAGAGGGGGGGATAGGACGGGGCAGAGAGGAGGGATAGGACAAGGCAGATAGAGGGGATAGGGAAGGGCAGGGAGAGAGGATAGGGCAGGACAGAGAGGGGGGGGATAGGACACGGAGAGGAGATGGGATGGAGAGGGGGAGAGTGGACAGGGAAGGGAGACAAAACAAGGAGGGGAGAAAGATATGAGAGGAGTGGACAGGGACAGAGAGGAGATATAGGACATGGAGGGGAGATGAAACAGGTGTGGAACTCAGGAGGGTTGGGGGGGGGGAAGACAGGAGAATGACAGGGAAGCGAGATATACTCACATCCACGTGCTTTCCCATCTCCACTCGCTTTCCCATCTCCACTCGCTATACTCACATCCACGTGCCTTTTTACCTCCCTCGCTATACTCACATTCACGTGCCTTCCCACCTCCCCCTCGCTTTACTCCCGTCGTACTCAAGAATATCCTGTGCCGTAATTCCCCTTACGTTGTACTCACGTGCACATGCCTTCCACCCACGTACTACCCTCGCCATAATATGGTTCACCTGCCTTCCACCTCAGCCACCGGTTTCGAGACGATCTTCTCGCGACGTGCCGCGGGTAAAGCTGGAGCTTTTTTTCCGGCACGACGTGGAAGAACATTGGCTCGCGCTAACGCGGCGATAACTCGGCGCTAGCTCAGCGATAACACGGCCCGATGGCTCGGCGATGACTCGGCAATAGCTCGACGATAACTCGCATGGCCTCCTGCCCCTTTGTTCCGCGGCGGTTAGACGCTAGCGCGTTTCGGCTGGGACAAAAACGGCATGCGCCTAAAACGCAATTGCTGTTTGCGGGGAAATGTGAAGGAAAATCGCAAAGTAGCGGGAAATGCCATGGTGGCGCGTGGCGCGGGATCCTGTCAGTGCGATTTTTGTTCGCGTACGCGTAGCCGACCTTCCGCCGTTCGTATGACGGCCTGTCACTAACCCTAAGTTCTGACCATATCGTAGTCTGTTTAGACCCCCAACTCTAAGTACGGACTACTCGTGCAAAGGCTAATGCTTGGTGATGGCCGAGTACTTAGCGTAGGTGGGTGAACTATTGCAGATGTCAGATATATATGCCTTAGCCTATGTAGGCTGTAGTGGGGTAGACACTAAGGGGTACAGGTTTCATATTTGTATCTCACACTTTCCTAGTTCATTCATTCCTGTTGATTCTCACATGGTATAGAGCGGGTTCCCTCATGGGACCGTTCCTTCCTAAGGGCCCACCATAACATTTTTTTTTAGCTGCCCGAAGCGAGTCTCGCGCCCTGCCCTAAAATCTTTTTTTTCGCGGCCCCTACGTGGCCCCTTCGTCGCCTAGCGCGCCCCTACGCGGCCCCTACGCGGCCCCTACGCGACCCCTACCAGGCGCCTAGCGCGCCCCTAAGCGGCCCCTACGCGGCCCCTACGCGGCCCCTGCGCCGCCCCTACGTGGCCCCTACGCGGCCCCTACGCGGCCCCTACGCCGCCCATACACGGCCCCGTCGCGGCCCCGTACCTGACCTGCCCCGGCCCCGACCCTGTCGCGGCCCCGTCCCTGACCTGCCTCGGCCCCTACGTGGCCCCTACGCGGCCCCTACGCGGCCCCTCCGCGGCCCCTACGCGGCCCCTACGCCGCCCCTACACGGCCCCGTCGTGGCCCCGTACCTGACCTGCCCCGGCCCCGACCCTGTCGCGGCCCCGTCCCTGACCTGCCTCGGCCCCATCCCGGACCTGCCTCGGCCCCGACCCTGTCCCGGCCCTACCCCGGCCCCGTCGCGGCCCTGTCCCGGACCTGCCCCAGCCCCGAACCTGTCCCGGACCTACCCCGGCCCCGTCGCGGCCCCGTCCCGGACCTGCCCTGGCCCCGACCCTGTCCCGGCCCTACCCCGGCCCCGTCGCGGCCCCGTCCCGGACCTGCCCCGGCCCCGACTCTGTCCCGGCCCCGTTGCTGCCCCGTCCCGGACCCTGCTCGGCCCCGACCCTGTCCCGGCCCTGTCACGGCCCCGACCCAGTCTCGGACCTGTCGCAGCCCTGCCCCGGCCCTCCCTCGGCTCCGCCCCTGGTAAGAGCATAGCAGGGCCGAGCCGCGCTGCCGAGCCGCACTGCTTTGCCGAGCCGCCCTGCCGAGTCGCGCTGTCCTGCCTAGCTCAGTTGCACTGCTGCCGCTGCTAGTCTGCTGCTGCTCCTATCATGGCTAGTCCTAGTCTTCTTACCTTTGATGCTGAGGGTCGAGCGGTTGACTTCGATGTCTGGCTAGATGATCTGCAGCTTTTCCTTCAGTGCGATAGCAAGGATGGTCTCTCACTATTTGATCTTACGTCTGGCGCCTCCACTGCCCCTGCTGCTGATGCTGACAGTACTGTTCGCTCGCAGTGGCTCACGCGCGATGCTGCTGCCCGCCTTGCAGTGCGTAGTCACCTACCGTCTACTGAGCGCGCGCACTTTAGTCAGTACAAGAGTGCTAAGACTCTGTACGACGCTGTAGTTGCACGCTACTCTTCCCCTGCCACTGCTGCGCTTAGCCGCCTCATGCTACCGTACCTGTTCCCTGACCTCGCCGCTTTTGCCACAGTCACTGGCCTCATTACACACCTCCGCACTAGTGACACTCGCTACCGCGCTGCGCTTCCTGCTGAGTTCTGCGCCCAGAACCCCCCCCCCATGTACATCACCCTCTACTACCTAGTCACCCGACTCCCTGACACTCTTCGCTCGGTCAGGGACCACTTCCTCTCTCTTTGCCCTACCACCCTCACTGTCGACCTCCTCGAGGAGCGCCTCCTTGCAGCAGAGACTAGTATTACCGCTGTAGGAGCCTCTCGTGGTGACCCCCGTACCCCTTTCTTTGAGGGGTGCTCTCCCGTTCCTCTTTTGCCCTCCGTTGCCTCTGCTGCTGCTGTCGACCTTGTTGGCACCGAGTCGATCAGCGCTGCGTCTGCTCCTAGTGAGAGGCGCCGCACCAGCAAGGGCAAGCGGGGCAAGGGCGCTGGAGGAGGTGGTGGGGGCGGCGGTAGTGGCGGTGGAGGCGGAGGAGGGGGTGGGGGTGGGGGTGGTGGCAGAGGTGGGGGCTTCGGTGGCAGCGGTGCAGGTGGAGGCGGCGGTGGCGGTGGCGGGAGGGGTGGAGGAGGCGGAGGCGGCGGCGGTGGAGGTGGAGCTGGTAGAGGCGGAGCTGTGCAGCGGGGACCCCAGCAGCAGCAGCGCTCTCGTGAGACCCCGTCGCCCCAGCAGCTTCGTGAGTGGTACGCGGGGCGCCCTGGGTCTGGGGGTGCTGGTCCCTGTACTTACGTCCTGCGCACCGGCGACCGCACCGGAGAGCAGTGTGGCGGCCTGCACGCCACCCAGCGCTGCTTCGGTCGCCTGACAGACGCCTGGCGTGCCCAGTTCCCGGACGCCACTGAGATCCCTCGTTGGGGTGATCTGCTCAGGTCGGGTGTAGCTATCTTTGATCTTGACTTTGATGCTATTCTTGCTGCCATGTATGCTGTGTCTATTAGTGCTGAGGGTGACTGTTACGTGTGTGTTCCGCCTGACCCTGGTATTGAGGCTGCTGCTCTAGGTGTTCATGAGTCCGCTGCTCCAGGTGCTCGTGAGTCTGCTGCTCTAGGTGCTGGTGAGTCTGCTCTCTCAGGTACCGTGTCGGCGCAGGTCTTGCACACCTTCACCCTCGACTCGGGTGCTTCCCGCTCCTTCTTTCGAGACCGCACCACCCTTACGCCGCTCAGTCGGCCGGTTGCGGTCTCCCTTGCAGACCCCTCTGGGGGTCCTGTTCTTGCTCGCTACTCCACTGTCCTCCCGTGTCCGGCGGCCCCGTCCGGCTCCCTGTCTGGTCTCTACCTCCCCTCGTTCTCTACGAACTTGGTGAGTGGTGCTGACCTTCAGGATGCAGGGGTTGACCAGTTCACTCCTGCGAGTCAGCGAGTGACCCACTGCTCGTGTGCTCAGACGGGCCGCCACTTGGCCACGTTTACCCGTCGACCGGGGTCGAGCCTGTACACACTCACCACAGAGTCTCCCCCGGTTGCTGCGTCTGGTCAGGTAGCTGCGTCGAGTCAGGTGCTTGCTGCAGCGTCTCGGTCAGGTCCTGAGTCTGCCCCCTGCTCGTGTCGCCTCCTGTCCCACCAGACCCTCCTCTGGCACCACCGCCTTGGTCACCCCTCCTTGCCTCGTCTCCGAGGCATGGCCTCTCGTGTCCTTGTCTCTGGTCTCCCCCGGTCCCTCCCTCCCCTTCCCCCGGGGCCTGCCCCTACCTGCGTTCCCTGCGTCGAGGGGCGGCAGCGCGCCGCTCCTCACTCCTCCGAGTTTCCCCCGACAGAGGCTCCGCTGCAGACTCTCCACATGGACGTGTGGGGCCCAGCCCGCGTCCGTGGACAGGGTCACGAGCGTTACTTCCTGCTGGTGGTTGACGACTACTCGCGTTACACCACAGTCTTCCCCTTGCGCAGCAAGGGTGAGGTCACTGAGGTGTTGATCGACTGGATCCGCGTTGCTCGTCTCCAGCTCGGAGAGCGTTTCGACTCGGACTTTCCTGTTCTGCGTCTGCACTCCGACAGAGGCGGAGAGTTTTCCTCCGACCTTCTGCGAGCCTTCTGTCGTGCGGAGGGCATCCGCCAGACGTTCACGCTTCCGGCCTCTCCACGGCGAAATGGGGTTGCTGAGCGCCGCATTGGCATGGTCATGGATGTCGCTCGTACGTCCATGATCCATGCGGCAGCTCCCCATTTTCTGTGGCCGTTCGCGGTTCAGTACGCGGCGCATCAGATCAACCTTCAGCCCCGGGTCTCCCTGCCGTAGACCTCCCCTACTCTGCGGTGGACGGGGAAGGTTGGTGATGCGTCTGCGTTCCGTGTCTGGGGATCTCGAGCTTTCGTCCGAGACTTGTCTGCGGACAAGCTGTCCTCCCGTGCTGTTCCTTGCGTCTTCCTCGGCTTTCCCCCTGACGCGCCTGGTTGGCAGTTTTACCACCCCACCTCGCGTCGTGTTCTGTCCTCCCAGGACATCACGTTTGATGAGTCGGTTCCGTACTACCGTCTCTTCCCCTACCGCACTGCCCCCTCCCCCCCCCGCCGCTCTTCCTCGCTCCCGGTCCCCCCCCGGTAGACCCCCTCCCCCCTCAGGGTCCTGCCCCCTCAGGTGTGTCCCAGGTAGATGCAGTCGAGCCTGTCGAGGTAGCTGTTGACTCTGGTGATTCTGGGGGTGCTGAGCCTGAGCGTGCGGAGCCTGG